TTTAGATTGGGACGACTGTCTGTGTTTTACAGGTTTTACTATTAAAGCCTATAGAAGCCTTCTCACTCTCCCCCTCTCTATCATGAGAAGCTATAAACGTCCAGAGCCACAGCTGCGTCCAAGGAGCCGCGCGCAGACTCCCTCCGACATTAACTGATGTTTTACAGAGACAAACTGCGGAGAACAGCAGGATCCACCTGGACCAGCGCCCACATCTGGAGAAGCTGATAATGGAGGAGAGGAAGGGAGAGAGGAGGTGCAACAGAGCAAAATGGATAAAGTCATGAGTTTAATGAAGGCCAGGATGTGAAGGAGGAAAAAAAAAAATCCAGTATAGAAGTAAAGGCCAAATAACACCTGGAACAATTCAGTCTGTCATTCACTGAGGTTTGATAAGATGTGGACGTTACAGTTTAGAAGGTTTGGGTCGGATGCCTACTGGTTTCAGGCTGATTTTAGAGGAAACCAGGGGTATATTGTTTTCCGAAAACAACTGACTTTTACCCATAGAGGCTGCTTTTCTTGTCTCTTCTAAAACTAGAAATCAATGTTGACTTATTTGTAACATAACTGTATGTAAGTAATGCAACGTATGTAGTTATTTTATATTAATTGTAGTTTTTCCAGACCTAAACAAGTAGCATTGTTCCTTAAGATTCCTGGACATTAGTTGGAAAATAATAACTTTTTTGTAATATATCATGCCAACTGTTGTATAAGGAAATATGCCATTAGACGCTACCTGCTAATCTGCACCACATCTCAGACAGAAAACCACTTCTCTTCAGGATGAAATACTTCGAGTGACTGACACTGACTTTGGGGGATGTGTATGAGCGTTAAGAGGTTTAGATGTGTATCTCAGATTTGAGTGTTCTCTCGTATAGAAGCCTGTCCGTGTTTCTGCTGAAAGAGAATGATTGTGACTGTGGAGCGGAGACTATACGAAGGCTAAGTGGAACGGTAGAGAGACAAAGAAAGGGAAAGAAAGAATGCTTGTAAAGACGACTGGGGCAAATGAATGATGAGGAAGGGATCTTTGCTAATGCTCCAGTGAGTGATTGCTCCTCTATCTCGGGTCCCAGCTGGAGATGAATGGCTCTCTTAGGACAAAAACCTTCAGTCAGGAGTCCTGGCAGAATCCGATACTCGGCACGCTCTTCCTGACTGTTTTTCACATAGCGGATGACTTGTGCGGAGCTACAGTTTGGCTTTTAACAGAGTGGTCGCTCAATGAACTACACGATAGGTAAATCAAAGTACAGCTGAAAAATCTTAAGCTGAAAGCACGCTGGTTGAATTTATGTTTCATGTATTACAAGTTCAGATGGTTGGCAGATGCTTAACAGAAGTATTTTCTTGAAATGGTTTGAGTTTCCATGATTTTTCCATTGATAAATGTTTTGAAAGGCCAATACCTCAAAGTGAACTCCACATCTGGTGCGTCATATAATGCATGTTAGAAGTGATTTTAAACTTTAAATTATAATTTTGTCGTAGGTCAGCTATTGTTAAGAGACATGTTCGAGCCATGTTCCTGTCATAGGATATTTATAACATTTGTTAACATCAGGTGTGATATCAGAGCCTCCACAGAAAAGAACCACATTCGCAGTATTGCACGTCTAAGCCCATTAACTTCAAATTGTGTATACTTAGCATTACTGTAGACCATTTTCCAAAGTGAAACCACACTCCAGGCATTCACCACCTTCCAGGCAACCATCAGTTTCAGTTAAGGCCAATAATGTATGAAAGTCAACTTGCAAAACCACCATCATGACCCTTTAATATAATAATGACCACCATAGGATGTGAATGTTATTTTTTTCTTGACTACATATAAGTAAATCCTGGATCATCCAAAATAAAACACAGCCAGAAATAACTTTAGAGGTTCAGTGGCATGCTCCAGGGCATTACAAAAACAATGGGACCAAACTTTTGACCTTGCAGTTTAAACCGGGCCTTTTTAACGACTAGACCACCCTGCCATTGACGTTTGCATCCAAAAATCTGTGTAAATGCAGAAGATCCCACAAATATCAAGCAGACAAGTAAGCATGTTGTATACTTAAGGGCAGGGGAGATTTAGATGTTGAAAGGCATGAGCTGCTGTCTGTATGTATTGCGATGAAGTTGTGTGTTTATCACAGCAGGAAACCTCCGGAGAGTACGATGAGGAATAGGTGTACAGAGTGGAGACTGGCTGGCTGCTCATGCCTCTGAAAGCAGGCTCTGGCGTGGGAGTAGTTCCCCCTTGGCAAACACCGTCGTCTGGCTCACCAGATCGCTTGATTTAAGAAGACATGTTGCAGTGTGTGTTTACTAGATAATCTTATTGGCTCAACACTCAGCTACTTTTTTATTTGAGATAAGTGCTGTAAATGCAGGATACTAAACCTTGGGAAAGGAGTTTTTTAGTAATGGATCGGCATGTCATGTCAGATGGATTGACAGGAGGGAAATGTACCGATGACAGACTTCTTACTGTACAAGCTCCTCTTTTTTCAAAGAGGGCTGACAGGACTTTCTCCTGCCATACATTTTCAAAATGTTGTGCTGTGACAAAAACAGTCATGTATTCCAGCTTTGGGGGATTTCTCTGTGTCTTTTTCTGTCCCTCTGCGTTCGTTGTTCTTTTTTCTACTTCAACAGTCACAGAGTATGAAACCTCTAGTTGTATGTTGGAGCAGAAAACCCCAAATCCTTATATATTTTTATTTTATAGCTCCCAAGGTTTCCATTAAAATGTGCAACCTTTGTTTGGGTTTCAACATTTTAGAGTGTGTGGAGAATCAATGTCCTGCTCTCCTTCTTGTTCGCAGCCTATATGCGTTTACCAGTCCAAGCATCTATATAAAAATGTACCCAACCCATTTATTTTCATATAAACCTATAAATTACAGTCATGTCTCCTTTGCTCCAAGTTAGAACACCAATAACTTCGTCTTTGTTTGTGATCTACAACCGACTTTGTGGGGTAGAGGTGTCGATGAAGTCACTCTACGACCAGGTGGGCGGTCATGGGGCTTAAAGCCTCTTTAATTAGATTAAGTGAAAAGATGGGGTCATCACACAGTATGCAAGCATGTGTATGTGTGTGTGAGCATGTACACGATTGTCCAGTTCTCATCACTACAGGTGGCTAATCCATCACAGACCGTCAGAAAGATATGACGAACACCCAGACATGTGCATAGATCCCAAAAGATTGTATTAGTCTCAACACTGTACTCTGAAGGAAGTCCCAGCAATGATCTAAAATCCCCAGCTGTAAACACTGACCAAAGGCAGAGGTACAGTATGACCCCTCGGAAACAAAACACGTCTAGCCGCGGTAACACTATGACCTAAAACTCTAGAGGAGCTTTTCTAATATTCCCATCTTTTAATATCCTATAGGATCAACAGCATGAGTCAAGGTGGTTGTGTTTCTGCCATCTGTCTATAGCCAGTAGTAGGTAGGTGTAATGGTGAAGACATGTGTTGGGGGGGGCGGAAGAAAGGTCATTGCCGGATGTCTGCTGCGGTGGTCCTGTGTTCGGTGGGGTTCAGGCCCAGGGCAAGTTCACACATAGGATACAGACGTTTGATAAAATCATATAACAAAAAGCATAGCCAAAAGAGATCTGACTTCTTTACGTCTGTCTTTTTCCAATTTAGCCCTTTTTTGTAAATTAGATTCGGTTGGAAAATATTATTGAACGACAAGTAGACTTATATGTACTTTAAACTGTTTAAATATATAATAACACTATATTCGGGTCAGTATTGGAATAGAAAACAAAATGGTGGTTGAGAATATCGATATATAAGAACACAAATATTTTTCTCAACTTATTCTCCTCATATTAAGACTAGTTTTCTTATACTCACTAATTCATGAAATATAACGTTTATTCATAAGATACAAGATACTTTTTTGTCTTTATTTTTGCCTTTATTTTTAATTGTAATAATTTTCATCATTTTTTAGACCAAGTATATTATCCTTTTCCTTCAGATAACTAACCTGTCTTTACCCCTTCAAAAATGTGAAACTAAAGGTTTCTGAGACATCACTAAACATATCTTACTGTTGCTGTATTAGAGATGTCAATAACAGAGAGGAAGTGATGTCATGAGGCCTCCTGGATCTTGGCTCGCCTTCAAGACTTCTAGATCAGAGGGAGAATGCTTCTTTAACAAGCGCCATAAACGCCACCAAACAATGTTATGGACCTGTGTAAAACTTCAGTCAGAGGCAGGACCCCATGGAGCACAGAGGGCATTTCCTTTTTGTGTTTTGCAAGGAAATCTTTGTTGTATTATGGGATTTTTCTATGTTTTATTAGATCTGGTTAGAGTTTACAAGTGTGTGCAGTAGAAAGAAGGATTTTGAGTAAATGAGACAAAAAAGTCAAAGGTTATGTCAAGACCTGTGTCTGTTACATGTCTGGTGTTAACATGTTAAAGCCCTTTTGTAGGAGATAGAATGGAGAAAGAATTTATGTTTGAGGTGTGCATTTAAGTGGCAGTCTGTATCTTATTTAAATGCCTTTTTTAGGGCCTCTTTTGACCCCTGAACTAAATTCAGAACCTCTGTAAAACTCTCTTCATCGCTGTCAGTTCCCTTTATCTGTATCCATGGTAACCACACCAACTGTCCGTTTTCCACATACATCATATCGGTGATTTATAAAGGTGAATCACTCTCACAGATGCTTGGTTTTTATAGTGCTCTGGAAATCATAACAAGTAGTGCTATGGTGTGTGATATTTTGACAACTGCAGATGTATGGGAGCCTGTGAAGTTGCTGCATTATTGGACATTATTGTGATAACAGAAAGGCCCTTAGCTCGTATATAATAAGTATGACGCATGTAGGGTTCTTTCACGCAGATTTCAGAACCTGCTGTGTGTGTTGATGCGATGCGTTTTGAAATCTTTATGTTTCACGGGCAGTTTGGCACCGGTAGACCGTCCATGTCTTAACCTTGCGTGTCTTTTCCCTCAGGTGTCGGCCACAGATGAGGACCGTGGTTCCTTTGGCGCGATATCTTACGTCCTGGGTTCTGGCTCTGGAAGTGCAACACCAACCCACTTTACCATCAACAAGGAGACTGGCCAGATTTGCACCAGCACAGCTCTGGATCGTGATGAGGGACTGGAAAAGTTTGACCTGACCGTCACTGCAACGGATGGAGTAAGACTATTCTTACCTTTTGAAACTATAAGGAATAGTAACAAGTAGACGTAATCTCTAAAAACCTTTTTAAGGAATAGTTTTTAATTTGGGAAATAATATTTTTATAACTCACCAACAGGGCAGACAAGCTTAGGTAGGAAAAAAAGTCAAGAAAAGGAACAAAACTTATATTATATTATAGATTGGTTATTGGCGATGTTTAGAGTTTCTGTTAAGTGTATTTTTTGTACAGATCCAGCTAAGGGGGACCCTGTTTCAAGTCGTTGTGCTAAACTGAACTACGTGGCAGCTTCATAGATCAGTTGTATCACCCAATTCAAATAAGCATACCCCACCAACAAGTACTTTTACTTTTGAAGTCTTCTGTACAATCAAAGCCTAATTTACTTTGATTACATAAACTATAGAAAAGACCATAACTTCAAAATAAACTAAAGACAAAGCCCTTTTCTTTGTGTTGCTCCATCACCAAACACAGTGTGTAATGCTCCTTCTGATCAAAGCTGCAAGCAGAAAGCAAATTAAAGATGTGTAGCGCAGCTCTCGAATAAATCTGATCAAAGAGACATTGGGGGACATGTTTGAAGAAGACAGCATCCTGACTCTAACTGTGTGCCTTAAAAAAAAAAAAAAAAGAATCAAGGCCACAACAACATGGCAAAGCAATCAGAGCAAACAGAGAGGGAGTGTGGGGATGGAAAAGGTAAAGAAGTGCAACAGATCCATTTACACACACAACTCAAATAATCTTATGTACGATATACAATTTAAGATAAATATGATGCCTAATTTTACCACAATTACAGTCTTTTCAATAGCCTCTTTCTATAGGACACATACACATTTGAAGTATCAATTAATCACCCTGGGCGCCCTTACATAGCCATTCAAACTTTCGTTAAGAATAATAAAACATTCTTATTGTGTGTGTATTAAGGTTACTTGAAGAAAAATAATGCAATACCATTGTTTTAAATGTATCTTCATTAGTCATAGAGGAGGCAGTGTTCGTTCTTTGAATTCCCTTTATTTGGCTCGGGTAAATATCGGGTCTATAATTTACCAACCCCCAGAATGCATCTTTCCCCCCCGCCCGGCACATTCCTGTTTCTCGGTCTGTTCGCTCTGACTCCACTATCCCTGTTTTTTAATGCTCTCATAAAAACCAAGCCAGCAGATATAGTGTAATGACCGCAAACTCTTCTCCTCGTTGACAAATGCACACAATGGTTAATTGACTCCATATTTCAGGGATTTTCAACAGAGGACTAATATTTCTGTTTCCCTATACAGCTGCTTCATCTTTACACTTCGACATAATTCTATTGTGGAAGTTTCAAAACATGAATGTCCTGGATTGTCGCTTTTCACCAAGGGATAAAAACAAATTGAATAATGTCTCCAGGGATATATAGTCCAGGAAGGGAGTGAGGGAGGGAGGAATGTTGTTTAACCAAATAGCTATTCTTATTGTTTAGCCTCCCTTTGTCTCAATAGACCAGTCATTTAAGGACCATAATATCATTACAACATTTCTAGTCTGACCTTGTGTGCTCTGCTTGGATCTTATTTTAATGCAAACATCTTAAATCTAATCTGAAGCATTTCTTTTTCAGGGTGGCTTGAGTTCGGTTGCACGTGTACGGGTCACGGTGTTGGACATCAATGACAACCGGCCCACTTTCTATCCAGTCCTCTACACAGTCAGTCTCAGCACCCATAGCGCCCCTGGAACATCTGTCGTCAAGGTGACAGCAAATGACCCAGATGCTAGGGAAAATGGCCGGGTGACCTATCGCACGGTACCTGGAGGAGGCTCTAATTTCTTCACTCTCAACAAGGATACAGGTATGTGTGTGTGTGTGTGATACTATCAACAACACATGAAAGCAAACAGGAATGACCTATTGTGAAACTTTCTTTGGAGTTTTTAAAAACCACAACCATCAATCTTTGATTCTCTTTTCTTCTACAGGTGTGATTTCTCTTTCACGCTCGCTCCACGGTAAAGCCAACACGGTGATCTCCCTGGTGATATCAGCTGAGGACGGCGGTGGTTTGACGGCACCGGTAAATGCCAGGGTGAACGTGAGTGTGGTGGGAGGTTCCGTGGCGTCTCCCGTGTTTGACCAGGCCCAGTATTTCTTCACCGTGTCAGAGGACGTTCTCAGGGGGACAGCGGTGGGAGTGGTCCGAGCTGCAACAAAGACAGGTGAGGACGCTTGTGTTGGACGATAATTTTCTCCTTCGCTCTATGTCAATATATGTCTGTGTAACACTTTATATTAAGGTACACTTATTCACCATCAACTAGTTGTTAATTAACCTATTAGAGTCAAACTACTAGCTTATTTGTTATGAACAAGACGTCACTTTAAAATAGGGGATTGAGTTATACCACATTTTTTGTTATTTTGACAGACAATTAACCCTTTTAGTTTCATGTCTTGTTACATAAGAATAGACCATATTTGTTTGGTGTAATTATGGGAGAATTACTAATCTTGTGGTACTGCTGCCTTATTAGACCCATATTGAGCATATTAAGACCAAAACTCATGTACAACAACTTCCTTACAATAAATAAACACTAATTAGACGGTTATTAAGGAAAACTCTTAACTAATGCCCTAGTACTTGTAGAATATGGTCATATAGAATAAAGCATTAATAAGTGTTTAATACTGACTAATAAAGAGCTAATATACTGCTAATATGTATGTTAATTAACAACTAGTTGATAGTGAATATGTGTACCTTAATATAAAGTGTTACCTATGTCTGTATACCAGGCTTGTTTTTATCAATTTACCCCAAATGCCATAGGGAACGTTTCATCTTCCTGATGAATACCAGGACAAAAATGCTCTAATGGGCTGCAGAGTGCATGATTTCTAACCTCTCAGTCCAGCAGTTGTGCAAATACGCAAGCAACAAGAGCATACACTCCATTAACAAATCACATCCATCACAGAGTGTGTGCTTTACTGAGGATTATTTTTACTCCGGCCAGACTTTTATTTTCTCTCAGTATTATTGATGGAGAAATGAATTTGGATGGGGGTGTAATTGTGAGTGGGAGTCATAATGAAGTGTACTCCGTGCTGCAGCAGACAGAGAAACACTTGTCTCTGTCTGTGTAAATGTACAAAGCTTTCCATGATTCTATCCTCTCACCCACTCGGAGTGAATCCAGCTCTTTGTGAAGACTTGGAAAAATAATAAACACACCACTTCCATGTCTTCTTAAAGCGGATATGGATCTGTCATATGAATTTTAAATGTTCCGTGTATGTTTTCATTAAGCTAAAGACAGTGCATATCAACAGCCCTATACATTATTTTTGAAATGCTGTCCTCCCTTCTAGTAATGAAATAGTAGTATTTGCGGCTTTCAGTTTGTCAAAAAGAATATTTTTCTGCTAGAGTTTTTTAACATTATGACATGCTTGTTCACTTATCTATGATTACAGCTCTTGTCTCTTTGTCATTTTCATTTTCTAAGAGTTTTTTGTTTCTCTTGCTTTCTCCCTTTGTCCTCCATGCAGGTGTTTCAAAGGATATCTTCTACTCCATCTCCTCTGGGGACCCTGATGGTTACTTTACAGTGGACCGTGCCTCTGGTACCATCCGCTCTGCTCTTCCTCTGGACCATGAGACCTGTTCCAGCCTCGACCTGGAGATCCAGGCCCGCTCCGGCTCTCCTCCAGCGTATGGAACCAGTCGGGTACGAATAACCATTTCAGACGTCAATGACAACGCCCCGACCTTCCTCCCCTCCTCATCAGAGTCCCTGAGTTTACCTGAGATCACCAAAATGGGAACTGTTATCTACAGCATTCAGGCCACCGACAAGGACTCGGGTCATAACGGTCAGCTGAGCTTCGACCTGGTCTCTGCTGGGTCTGCAGGCAGCAGCGGACAGAGGACGTTTGGTGTTGACCGAGGCAGCGGAGAGGTGCGTCTGATTGGTAGTCTGTCATACGAAAGTGTGCCACGCTATGACCTGCAGGTGGTTGCCAAGGATGGTGGAGCGCCTCAGCTTAGCTCCACTTTCACCCTCGTGGTCCACATCCAAGCGCAGGATGCACAAGGCCCACATTTCGACACGCTGACATACCGTGTGGAGTTAAGGGAAAACACAGCTCTCAACACACGCTTCCTCCAGGTTCGAGCGCTCAACAGAGAGGCATCAGGGAATGGTAAAAGCTCCTCTTCATCTTCTTCCTTCTCTATTTCCTACCGCCTGAGGCCTGACGGTGATGCTGCCGGTTTTGGCATCATGCCAGACAGTGGGTGGCTGTTTGTTCGCAGCTCTCTGGACAGAGAGGTCAAAGACATGTACCTGTTGACTGTCCTGGCCACTTCAGGCCCCGGAGGAGTGGGGAGAACCGGCAGTGCAACAGTCAGGGTGTCTGTAACCGACGAGAACGACAATTCACCAAGACTGAGCCAGGAGAGGGTGTTCCTGGCTGTCAGAGAGAACCTGCTCGCAGGGACCGGCTTTGGCAGGGTGTCTGCAACGGACAGAGATGCAGGGCTAAACGCTCGACTCACCTACAGGCTGCTGCACACCGACAGGCACTTTCAGATCAATTCACAAACAGGTGAAGACAAATCCTAATAAGCTATTCATTGTAATGGAAGAATGCTAATAGTTCACTTAACTCAGTTTGTAGTAATTGTGTCACACCGGCTGCAATGTAGATACAACATTGCGTGATTTCCCTTAAGGAACTAATTACTTTTCTGTTTGTCTTTTCATGAAAATAGTAATCAGCCCTAACTAATTGCAAATAATGCAAGCTAAGGGCTCTGTCTCCTCCCCTCTCTTCTTTAGGTGAGATAAGCACCCGCCTCGCCCTGGACAGAGAACAGCAGTCCAGCTACCAGCTCGTTGTAGTCGTACAGGACGGAGGAACTCCGCCTCGCAGTGCCACCGGCACCGCTCACATCTCTGTGCTGGACGAAAACGACCACGCCCCCAGTTTCAATCACGCAAGGCCAGACAGGGAGCTGCTCCATCAGGTGAGAAGAAAGGGGGATTTGATAAGAGTAATGAACCTATTCTATGTGTCTACCTTTCCTATCACAATAATAAAGTAACTAGATTAGAAATAAGGATCAACGTAAAAGGAAGATAGTGCTCATAGAAAAGGCGTTGGAGAGAGACATTCCTGTGAATAACAATCCTTTCTCATTGTAGGTGAAGGAGGGGCTTCCATCTGGGACTTTCATTGGGACAGTGACGGCTAAAGACCCAGACGAGGGAGAGAATGGGACCATATATTACTCTTTATTAGGTGAGTGTCTTAATCCTCTTCAATCACTTCCCTCTGTACGTTCACAGTGTTTCATCATTATGACGTTAACCGTGAGCTGAAATTCATACCTGTTGCATCCTCTGCAGGCTCCAGAGCAGAGCGGTTCTCCCTCAACCCGAATAGTGGCGAGCTTAAAAGCGCTTCCCCTCTGAGATGGGCCGAGCGAGCGGAGTACGAGTTTACTGTGACCGCTGCTGACCACGGCACCCCCGGCCTCAGCTCCACCTGCCAGCTTAGAATACAGGTACATATAATCTGTAAATATAAAATATCTTCATCCACCCTACAGCTACAAGAACCAAACATTGTATGTGTCTTTAATTCATTTCTAAGGCATTGGGCTATCAGAAACAATGGTCTACCCGGTGGCCAAAACAAAAGAAATCCTCTTCCTTACATTACCTCAGTCATTTTGCATTCCTTGCTGCGAGTAATTTCCTCAAACTGTGCACAATGTGAACAGTATAACTGTCAAAGGAATTTTAAAAGGAGATAAATAGGAGAAGGAGAGAAGCTGAAGCTGTGCCTGTACAAACAGAATCATCTATTCAATCTAGTGTGTGCTTCCTGCTGCAAAGGTTAGCGGGGTAACCAAAACCCAAGGTGAGAAACCCTGAGCTGCAGGAGGGAGCTGTTCTGGTCTGAGTTATTGTTCTGAACTTTCTGTATAAGGGTCAATCCTGCATATCAGCCTTCAATATCAGGAATTCTACAGCAGCGGGAAAAAAATGGCTTGCCAGTGAGGCATTTAGCCAGAAAAGGGTGGTGGTTTGCTTTGAGCTCAGTGTTTTCATGTGATGTGATTTCAGAAAGGAAAAGGATGCTAATTACAGCGGGAGAGCTTGCCTTAGATTTTTCCTGCTCCGTGCTTGTGCGACACCGAGATTAGACAGAGGGGAAACAGGCACCTTGGAATCAAATGCTCCCAGATGAGATTTGATGAGAGCCAGCTGCATCAAATCACACACAGAGAGAGAAAGGGAATACTCCATTGTACGGTAGCAGGCAGTGATACGTACATGCACTCAGGCCCACTATAGCTGTAGCGATACATTCAAACACTCTCATGAGGTAACATTTCCAGGTAATGATTTTGAGATAACATTTCATATAGCTGTGGGTAAAAGCAGCCACTGGGATGTTGCTGTACACCACAGGTGCTACAGAACACACACTAGCTAGCGTACTTGTACTATGCGTAAAATCAAAGGATGTGCAAATAGTACAATGCAGTTTCTGACACTGTCTAGTAAATCATCTAATTTGAAATTATGTTAGCCCTTTGGCAAGCGGCTTATAGGGCATTTTAGATGATAATGTCTCAAATATAGTCAGTCTTTTGTTCATATCCCCGTCACTTCCCCCCTTCCTTGCATTTTACGTTTGATGAAGACCAATAACTTGCATATAGACTCTTATTGCACTATTTCACTTTTTTAAACTATTTTTCTTTTTGTATTTACTATTTACTTCAATCAATCAATCAATGTTTATTTATATAGCCCAATATCACAAATATTACATTTGTCTCAGTGGACTTCACAGTTTGTACAGAATATCAGTATGACAATACGACACCCTCTGTCCTTAGACCCTCACATCGTACAAGGAAACACTTCCAGAGAAAACCCCACAGTTCAAAGGGAAAAATGGGAGAAACCTCAGGGAGAGCAACAGAGGAGGGATCCCTCTCCCAGGATGGACAGACGTGCAATAGATGCCATCTGTAAATTGAAAAGATAATACATTTACAACATAGGTAGTCCAAATGTTAGAAAATGCATGTGTGTATAATAGGAAGATGAATCCACGAGGATATCCATCCAGGACCTATGATCCAGGACCACAGCAACAGGCACAGCCACGACTCAAGATCCAGGGCTCGCGTTCCAGGACACAGGACCGCAGCAACAGGATCATCCATGACTCCGGATCCCGGCCTATATAGACACCAAAAGAAAGAAATTTGGGGGAAGCTGGGTTATTCAGAGTACACGGGTACAGACAGAGAGAAGGAAGAAGTATGATGTCCCCCGACAAACTAAGCCTATATCAGCAAAACTAGGGGCTGAATCTAATCAGCCCTAACTATAAGCTTTATCAAAAAGGAAGGTCTTAAGCGCACTCTTGTNACCTGAAAGACCTACAGGCTAACTTGGATAGGGTGCGAGTCCAACCCTTGAAAACCATGCTGGCTAATGACAGATCCGAGCGACCCCTGTAGATAATTGACAAGGGTTGGACTCGCACCCTATCCAAGTTAGCCTGTAGGTCTTTCAGGTATGAGGTGAGGAGGGAAAGTGCAGAGCCTGAAACTCCAGGTTCTTGGAGAGTGCGAAGGAGGATCTGATGGTTCACCGTGTCGAATGCAGCAGACAGGTCCATAAGGATGATGACAGAGGAGAGGGAGGCTGCTTTAGCCGTGTGCAGTTCCTCAGAGACAGCAAGGAGAGCAGTTTCTGTTGAGTGACCTGCCTTGAAACCAGACTGGTGCGGATCCAAAAGGTTGTCCTGATGGAGATAACAGGAGAGTTGTTTAAAGACAGCGCGTTCAAGTGTTTTAGACAGGAACGGGAGGAGAGAGACAGGCCTGTAGTTTATAACATCAGACGGGTTGAGAGTGGGTTTCTTTAGGAGAGGGTTTACTCTTGCCTCCTTGAGACTGTTTGAAAAGTGACCAGAAGTTAGAGACGTGTTGATGAAATGGGTGAGAAACGGTAGAATATCAGGAGTATATAGTCTGAAGGAGGTTTGAAGGGATAGGGTCCAGAGGACAGGTGGTAGGGACGGGCAGAGGTAACGTGGGTAAGAACCTCACTTGGAGAGAGAGGGGAAAAGGAGGTTAGTGTGTGGGTGAAAGGAGGTTCTGGTGACCCAGCGGTGAGTAAAGGTGAGTCAGAAAAAGAAGAGCAAATATCATCAACCTTTTTTTCAAAGTGGTTAACAAAGTCGCTTGACAGAAGGGAGGAGGGGGAAGGGGCTTTGGGGGGGTCCAAGAGGGTGGAGAAGATGGAAAATAGTTTTTTGGGATTGGAATAGGAAGATTGGATCTAAGGATGGTTCTATTAGCACGCAGTGCGTCATTTAGCCAGGGAGCAGGAGGGGACTGACGAGCCTGCCGAGATGTGAGAGGACGGAGAGAGTCCAGAGAGGATGAGAGAGTAGAGAGGAGAGTTTCTGCAGCAGAGTTTGGAGGCAGGAGTTGGAACNCCTCAGAGATGGAAGCAGTAGAAAGAGGAGAGCCTGATAGGTTAGGAGGTCGTCATGGTGTTTGGATTTCCACCATTTCCGCTCTGCTGCCCGAAGGATGGTTCTTTTAGCACGCAGTGCGTCATTTAGCCAGGGAGCAGGAGGGGACTGACGAGCCTGCCGAGATGTGAGAGGACGGAGAGAGTCCAGAGAGGATGAGAGAGTAGAGAGGAGGGTTTCTGCAGCAGAGTTTGGAGGCAGGAGTTGGAACGAGTCAGAGGAAGGGAGGGCTGAGAGCACCGATGAGGCAAAGGTAGAGGGGGAGAGGGAACGAAGTTTGCGGCGGACAGGTGCAGAATTAGAAGAGATTAGTTCGTTATTTTTGGAAAGGGGTAGAGAGAATGAAATGAAGAAGTGATCGGATGTGTGAAGCGATTAAACGGTTGTCTCCTGTGTGCTCCACTTCCTATTGGCGCACCACCTGTAACTTTCGCTGCGCACGAGAGGCTGAGACCTTATGCTAACTAATTTTGATTTATTGTGTATGTTTTGGATGAAATAATATGAGTGGTATAAAATAAAAATAAAATAAAATAAATTATTGAATTTTTTTTGATACATTTTTTTTAATATATTTATAATTCTGCAAATATTACGATAAACTCACAGCTATTTCGCGGCCCGGCAGTAACACCTCCGCGGCCCGGTACCGGTCCGCGGACCGGGGGTTGGGGACCCCTGCTGTACACGCCCTTTATTGTCCAAAATCTATTAAAAACACATTCATTAGCAACACCTTTGCACTGAGTTACATGTTAATTCAGTACAATGCAAGTGGACACTATCCACTTTGGAACAATTGAACATACAGTATGCGGTTCTCCTGCTGGAAAAATGCTAATACAAGCACAAATATGTCAAAACAGGCCAAAAGTGGTCTCTTTCTAAAGCTTTATTTACTGTTTGAGGAAATGATTAGCATTTTTTAAAAGTGGAGCCATGTCCTTTTGGGGCTGAATGCCATAGAAAAGTCAGAAAGTGGTGAGAGGACGAGAGACTCTGTTTTTTTAAAATATTTTCATTCTTTGAAATAAAGAAAAATATAAAATAATGACACACTTGAATTCAACAGCAAGTTGAATCTTCATGCTAGAAGGGAGCTTGTTACATTATTCATGTCCTGGATTTTATAAAACCTAATTGAAAATGTGTTATAGCCTCACCTCTACTCAGCACACTGTAAAACTTTCTCTAAATGTTTTCTTTTTTTCTGAAGTGCCTTCTTTTGCCACAGGCAACAAATAGAGTTGTATTTGTCTTCATCTGTGCCTGAAGGGTATTCTTAGGGAGATTATTATAGCTTACTTTGCTCTTAGGCCAGCCTTCCTACCATGCAACCACACCGGCCCCATGACTTTGGCTCTTCTTCAAAGCTACTACATTGTGCATTTCTACAGATGTCACCAAAATTGGAACCAAGAGTTAGACATGAAATGTATAAAGTATAAATCTGAGGAGAATTGATTTTGTTCTGCCAACAGAAGGGGAAAAAGGCTCTTTCTGTTTCCATTTTGTCCGGGTGTTGGCACCACATTTCCTGCTGGTTGTGTGGTTTCCTCCAGACTTTTTTAGTCATTTCAGTGATTTTTGCACGTGCATTGTTTATGCAACTAGTCTGTATATACGTGTGCAGCTTTTGGACTATTTTAGGGAGGGACTGAGGATAAATAGACCCAGGGTTGACAGAGCAGGAAAAGGGCATTGTTATTAGGAGCCCAGGGCTAGTACTTCCCCGGAGCAGAAGGAGATCCCACAAAGTGTTCCACAACCAAGTGGAAATTATGTTGGACATAAAAAATGTAAAGTTATGATATCATCAGAGCAGCCACCCACACATAAAATAAGTACTTTCCAAAATCTATCATTAAACACCCTTTTTTCCCTCAGTGAAGATTTCTGCTAATTCTGAGCTTCATATTTCAGCCTTATCTTGAGATACGTCACCTCTGTAATATTCTCAGGGTAAAAAAAATGTTAAAACCCATCTTTCTCTGATTTAACTTTTATAATTTCAGAGGCTGGCCTGCTTCCACTTGGCAAGCTCCACCTGAACAAGGCCTCCCAGCATTAGCTGATCATTTGCTGAAAATCTTATCTCATACATTAAAGCATGAAAGTTGTAACTTCTCTAGCAGTGATCTTGAGGTAAAGATTGAAAACAGGAAAGCGGCAGTCCAGGTTTAACAGGTTGTATTTCCCCTGACTCTCTCTGTATCTATGCAGGCTGACATGGGAGAGGGAGATTAAACAGTTCCTCTGACGAGCTTCCAGGTTTTGTACGATGGAGGAAATATATGCGTCAGATCTGAGGTTTTTTCCTTTCCTTGGTTCACTTCTCCTATATTTCTCTTATAAATATAACCTTGAAGGTATCAGCCTGGTTTATATTAATTTGTTCTGTTTCATGTTGAAAACAAGACATTATCATCAATTCTGTATGGTTCAGTAAAGCCACTTGGTAAACCAAAAGATTCATATTTTTTTCCTTCCATGGAAATAATTTGGACGCAATGGAGGCTGGTTTTAATGTCAATGTCTCTCATCTATGTAGTCTATTTTTTGGGTCGTATCACAGTGGATCTCTTCCCTTGGGCCTTTTTTTATGATGACACCTTTTATAATTCTCCTCTTCCTTCCATTTCTATTTGCTTGGACATCACATTAACACAATACCTGCAGACTGCATCCTCCTCTCCTGCAATGTCTTCAAACTCATTTCCCTCCCCGCTTATTTATCTCGCAATGAGACATCCCTTCCTCCCTCTATCAGAATGTTTTATTGTTACAAAGCAAATAACCTCAGCAGGCAGATCCACTAAATCAGGGCGACCTCGGCATTAGATTATTTCTTTTTTTCAGGCTGTGCGGAAACTATTTAGCTGTTGGCTGACTGGCTTCTATAAAACCTTGGTGACCATGAAAAATGGGAAACAAAAATGACTCTTTTCCAGAATGATTTTGTAATTGGGAAAGGATTTTGTGCAGATGTTACTATGTTTCACTGGTGAGAATATAAAAGCTATTAAACACCTGAGTATAATCCATAAGGAAAAAATGAGGGAAAGCTGAAGTGATAGTTACAAACGATTCTTAAATGTCTGTAGAAAGTGGACAATCACAAAGATCAGCTATAGAACACTCAAATACTCTCAAACTGCTTCATTACACTTAGTCAATAGCTGCTGAAAGGCTTTCCCACCCACCAATGTTCTTCTAATACGAACGTCTAACAAACAGGAAGTAGCCAAAGCTGAGAACTTCCTGTATAAGCCCATCTACTGGCCAGCTTCTGCACTATATGGGCACTGTGTGTGTGTGTGTGTGTGTGTGTGTGTGTGTGTGTGTGTGTGTGTGTGTGTGTGTGTGTGTGTGTGTGTGTTAGCATTCCATCCCCTTTGCTTCCTTCCCTGCCCCTGGCCCGCTGATGCACGGCATCGTGGGAAAGAGCGAGTCGCACCTCTGCACACCACCCCTTGCTCACTCACCACACACATAAAGCCTCAGAGACAGGGGGGGGGAGGTCAGATTTAGTGGGTGTTGCGAGCCAGATGTTTGGCTGTGTGGAACTGTTGTGAAATTGTGCCATTAATGTGCCATCGTGATTCCCAATTTAGAGTTAATCAAGTGTGTGTCTGTGGGGGGACTGTAAAAGAGACCTGGAAACATGAGTTATTTTACTCAAAGCTTTTTTGTTAAATTGTATGATTTGAACTAATCTGATCTTTCTTTGCATGCCAAACGTTAATATCATGATTCAGATTCATACCCCGAGAGCAAATCAATTATACACACACTGCCTTCCATTCATTTCCAGTTCGCCTGAAGAAACGTTGCAGCTTCATGTGACAACAGTTGCTCTTTTGTTTATGTGTGTACGTGTGTGTTATGAGACGTCATGCCTCAGGCTGTGAAGTGTGTGTCAGAGACTTCAGAGGAAGAGGAAGATGAGAGGGTCAAGTGCGTCGAGAGAGATCAGTCCTTCCTCACGTTGCCTTTCTGGATCAGCCACTTCCTGTTTATTGTTGCCCTGAAGTGTTGTGCCATGAAGATAACAGGGCTGTGACCTCTGACTCCGACGGAACAGAAGCACATCCTGCGACGGATGCCATATTGTTCGGTATCTCGTCACACCTCGTCACATGACCAGCTTGACCTGCAACCGACTCACATTTGTACAGTTTGTACGTCATTCTGGTTCATAGTGCAGTATTTTGATTGAACGGCTGTTTTTGTTTTATCTTGTAAGTACGTTTACTAAATCCATTAATTACAAAAATGTAAGTTAATTACGACTCCCATTTCATTTCTCAAAAGCAGTCATCCAGAAATCCAGTTTATTTCACTGATTATTGAAGCAACTTTATATATTAAATCCCTTAACATTGTGTTATAAATTACCACAATGATTTGAATTGTTGCTTGTATTTTCCACAGAGGCCTTCAAATACCTCTCATGCACTGAATAAACCTTAACAGAAACTGGCTTCAAGATACAAAACGATTCCCAAAGCAATAAAGTTGAGGGTTTAAGTTTACACTCATGCAGAAGGGGTTTATAGATCATATTCAATGTTTTATGATAAAGGGTTCTCAAGACTTTGCCTATCTCCCTGGAATCAGAGAGAAGAAACTTAAGGCCAATCTTTCCCTGGAAAAGGAAAAAAGAAAAACCCCAAAGATCTGTTCTGTAACTCTCACAGCTGTGGAGCCAGGGCAGGAGCTGGAGATATTTCCGAGTCCCTCCTGGAGTGTGATTTATTTCCAGACCACTCTCCTCCCACTGCTCCGGCTTTCTTTTGTTGTTTGTTTTTTGGGAAGAGTTTAGGACTTATTTTCCAATCAATCTCTTGCTGTACGACAATAATCAAGATAAGGTAATGCAGGTTTCTAGCCACACACAGCACAGGTCACAATATGTTTACATTATGGAAGGCAGTGTTAGCTTTTAGAGGGATTAAGGCCAGGAGATGGAAAGGCTCCAACAAAGCACATCTTATTATTGTTCATAAGGACATTTGAGCTAGTTTGGAAAATGGACAAGTATACACAGACTTGGAGAAAGATAGAGAACAACAGTGAAGTCAAGTTGAGGCCACAGTTGGAAAACCAGGACAAACCTAAGTGGCTTAGGTTCTGTACAGGGGGCTTGTTTATGAAAACTGATCACTGGAGGCCTGTTCAAAAGCATATTTTATATGTTATGGACTGCAGAAAGGACTCTCTTTTCTCAACTGCCACTAACAAAGCATGGATGAGTGAAATATATGACAAAGAAAAACAAAGAAAAGTGTGTTCCAGCAGTATAAATAACAAGCTGAGATTGATTTACTTTTGTTTCTGAATCCCCCTCAGCACTGCATAGTGTTGGTATTACAGTATATCTACTAAGATCTATACAACTAAACAGGGGGTTATTCATCTCCTCTTCATCAAGTACATTTCAAGCGATTTAAAGTTGTGACCTGTGCGTATCCCTGGGCATGTGACCGGCTGAACCGTTTAGTCTGCATCATTCAAGGTCTCCGTTTACTAAATGGTTTGTGAAGGGAGAGACGAACATAATTTTGTAAGCGCATTTAGTCCAGTCTTGTGTGCATAGTAAACATGGCTAACAAGGTTAAGTCCAGACTCCACACTGATAAAAGCTGGAGACGGACAGGAGCCACTGATGATGCGGTGTGTGTTTTTCAAATTTCTACTGCCAGTTGTGACTCTTCACTAGACCAACACTCTTGTTCATGCCTTGGATATACAGTAAGAGTAAGAAACACTCTAATAATGGGCCACATAGCTTCACATCAACTCTTATTTAATGAATGTATAGTCTTGCTTTTTAGGGAATTATGATATCATGACTAAACTGCACTAAGCTTGTGTTGTGCTTTGACCGGTGAGTTCGTCCTCAGAGGTTTTAATTCACTCGTCCACTCGCAGCTTGGCAGTCCGCAAGAGCCAAATATTTACGGTGCCTGTCTGCCATCTAAACACCCTTTCCACATGACATATTTATTCAATTATGCTTTATTTCACAGAGACCAAAAAAAGACTGCAAAATCTTGAGCCGAGTTGTGAGTGTTTTCCACCAACAACTGTGTAGTCCCCTATGGCTTTGATTCAAAACAGACGGAGAGACATTTTGGATGCATGTCTGACATTTGTTGAATATACTCTGTAAACGATTTTGACTGGTGAGGAAATCATAAACACTACTTATGCACGATTCAAGGTTCAGGTAGGCCGCTTGGAGTCGACAGTGTGGTGAGGTGGTTTTTGGAATAAGGCCGTAGGCTTCACAAAGAGCACTGTGTGAGCTACCCGTGATTACCTACCACAGGGGAGATATTCTCTAATTTACAGCCGTATTTCTCTTTTATAGAACATTTGGTTTTTCAGCATGCATACCACCATGTTTATGAACAGTTAAGCGCAACACAAAGTATGGAGCTTGTAGATATTTGCAAAGGAAAAAAATGGTATTCTGCAGTGTGGTAAATACACATACAATACATTTCCAACAGCTATTATTTCTCTAGCATTTCTTTTGAAAAATAGCAAACGATTGCGAACAATATGAATGTCCAAAGACGCCAGGACTGGCAGCTAATTTTTCATTTTTTTCCCCCAGCATGCCTTCTTCCAGATGAGCGTGGAATATAATACGTGTGGTTACATGGTTCAGCAAATTTGAAAAAGTGATTGAAAAGATTACTCTGACATCTTGGCAGAGGAGTCGTTTGATCGCATTTTTGTTGTTGGACAAGAATAGTGGTTTTAGTTTCACCTCTGTGTGTCTAATATCTTTTTACATCACAACACTGCATTATCATTCTAGTTAAACTGCAGTGGAGGGTTCAGCATAACTCGACGACTGGGCAGAATGCCTGCTCTGGTGTTTGCACACAATACAAATTTGCTGTAGAAATTGTGCTAGAATAAAACAGTAGAATAGTTCCTCCTTTGTGTGCTTTTGATCCACTGCAACATTTGACTTATTTTAAGTGCTTCAGGAGAATTCCCCCCATTTCGAAGTCCCTTTCATGAAAATGTAAGGGGCATTCTTCAATTCCCTGTTCTCTGTAGTAAAGTAATGGTGCCTGTAAGGTAGACAGTGAGCTGCCAGTCACCCTTGAGCATGATGTTGACATCCTCATGATTCATTTTGCCTGTTCTCTGGTTTTCAAAGTCACAGTCAGCAAGCTCTTTAAACCTGAGTGTGCTGACATTTGATGTACATCCCATGTGGCCCCAGCAAGAACCCTTATGCTTTTTGTTTTCATATCGCCTTTCCCTTCTCTTACGCTCCCCTTTCTCAACTTAATTGTTGCTTTGCTTTCTGAGTGTGCCTCAGAGGCACGACTTAATGCTTTCTTCTAAAATATCACAGTGCCTTTCAGAGGCAGTCTGTTTCATGTCTGTGAAGTGAGTCGGGTGCAGGGATTTGGGGATACTGAGGTTGTGGCAAAGGAGGGGGGGTTCGCTCGTCTCTCTTTAAGGCAACCACTCTTTTATTCCCACATTTTCCACGCATTAGGCAGTTATTATTGAACTACTGAAGCTTTCGTTCACACACTCACTCAGACACACACCGTACGCATGCATGCACACCATCGTGCCCGTGCCATAGGGAGGTTGTGCTCACGGCTTACATGAGGACAGAATGGTCACTGTGTTTCCCATCATTCTCTGTGCACACAGATAGCCCTGAATGGAAAATCAAGGTGGTGTGTGTTTGTGTGTGTGTGTGTGTGTGTGTGTGTGTGTGTGTGTGTGTGTGTGTGTGTGTGTGTGTGTGTGTGTGTGTGTATGCCACCGCAAACAGAAAATATGCTGCACCGCTTAGGATACCCACCGGCTGTCCACATCACAGTGACCACTGATTTCTGAGCTCTGTAATCACCGTACACAGGACTATTTTAGTGGAATCTGACTATGGATTAGACAGCAAATTGCCAGGGATAGCGAGTGTTTCCATGGAGAGGGTGGAAGTTGCTTGTAAGGAATAATAAACAGAGTTAGATTAAGATTAGACGTGATGATCTGAGAGCGGTGGCAGCTGGAGGACTGTATGAATGTGTGTGTACAGTATCAACAATGTCCAAGAATTGTTTTTAAGTACACGATCAAGAACGTTATATATGGGACAGAACATTAAAAAGCTGTGCAAAAACTTTCTTTATTTTAGCCCCACACTTAATCTGCTCCATTTGTCTCCAACTGATGACTTCTTCCTCATCCACTATTAATCAGATGGGTGTAATGACAAGCTGACATAGCCATAAATGTTTATACTCCGTCAAGCTCGCACATAATGTGTTGGAGACCCACACAATTGTCCCAAGTCTTCCCAAAGCTGAACTCATCACAGAGTTTGCGGTTAGAACTGTCGTAAAAGTGAGCTAAACCCAACAATTAGCTCCTTTAATGAACGAAAATATGAACACTCTGTCAGAATGCCTCCAGTCTTCAACGCAACATCGTGTTTTTATTAAATATGACTCTCATCATCTGGAAAACTGCTGAAGGACTGGCGTACACACACAGCATGTGTCACCCACATAAGCATACACAAACAACAGGAATATATCATTGGCAAGAAAAATCTACAAGAGATTGTACAGTGCAATCAGGAATATATAGATTATCAAATAAGGAGTTATTTCATTAAATCAGGAAATCCAACAAAAATAAACTCTCCAATGAATTTCATTGGGGATCTCTACATTCCATGACACTGTCCCATTGCTTTATTGACACAACACACCAAGCTCTTCTCTTCAACAATAACAATTGAAGAAGACACACATCTTTGTCTAGTTTTGTGAGGAATGTTTTCTTTGGTTGGGAAGATATTGAACTACACGATGGGTATATTGAGTATGAGATTTTGCCCTGCATATTATACGAAGTTATGTAGAATCTCATTTATAAGACAAGGAATCTATTGTGCTGATAAACTTGGTAAAGACTGAATGCAGATGCTATGTAAATCATGCCAAAGAGAAAGAATCTGCTCTGGCTCTATCAATGATAGTGTCGTAAATTATTGAAGAAACAACATGACCG